CTGAGTTTCAGGTAACAATACTTGGTTGACCCAAAGGGGTTTATTTACTAAAGCTGGAGAGTCCAAAATCAGACTCCCTTCTGCATAGAAACCAATCAGCTTCTAACCTCAGCTTGTTCAATGAAGCTTTGGCAATGAAACCTGGAAGCTGATTGGTTTCTATGCAGAAGTGAGTCTGATTTTGCACTCTCCAGCTTTAGTAAATAAACCCCAAAGTGTCATAAGTCAAAATCTTTGGTTGTCTTTTGTCTCTGCTTGGTTGTATTCTTCTTGGAGGTAGTGAATCTGAATCATGCTCTTTCTTATCTCCAACACTTTCACCACTTTCTTCTGAGTTTTGATGAAGCCTCACCTTTTATGTTTCTAGATAAACATTCAGTTAGTTAAATTTCATCTCCCGGATTGGCTTCTAGCTAGTCTCTGTACCATCCTCACTTGTTTCTAAGTGACAGGGGTAGAACTCTTCAGCTTCTGGATTCAAACCTGTTGTGTTTGTACTGGTGTGAGCACTTTGAGTTAAAAGAATCAAAGCTGTCAAATGCTCTTGTGCATTGTCGGATTAATTTTCTGAGTCATCTTCTGAGATCTGTGTGAGCGGTCTTGTTCTACTTCAACATTTTTCCTGTTTTCTTGTACTGAATCTTTCTGACATTGGCTGACCTTGTTCTACAGGTAAATAATCACATGGCAATATCAAACTGTGATGCAGGATTCTCGCCCTACCTTTCCCAGTCTTGGGTTTGATATCATTCACTGGACTGTCTTCACACTTCCTTTTAAGAATGCCATATATAGTATCTTCCCAATAGGATCTCAATTTTCCAGGACCTCCTCTTTCGGTAAGGTTTCTTACAAGAACTTTACTGCTAGGTCTTAGTTTGGTACCATGAACTTTCTTGTTATGACAACGTGCACTTGCCACGAAACACGTTAGCGAGATGCTACTTTACCTACCACTACTACCCACATGGTCCACATCTTGATACGGGCGGCCATCTTTATCATCTTTATCATACTTGGAATTGTGAATTGCACCATGTAAGTGCTTCATTTGTTTTATACTCCTTAATAAAAGTTACTACACTATCGGAAGCCTCTCTTTTGGGTTTATTTCTGAGCCCTGAAGGTGACTCCTGTTCCAGGAGCGCACACCGCACCCCCTGGAGGTCGCTGACACAAAAGGATTCCACTACATACCGGATGAGCGTTTATCCCACTGGATACCTGGTAACGCCATAATTGGAGAGGACGCAGATGATTCTGGTGACCACAGCAGAGACGACCACCACTCCGGCAGGTTTCCTGATCCATTGACCAGGAGTAGGTCATTTTAACCCAATGCGCTACTATTTGCGCTATCTGGTTAGTGCACTCTACAGCCACACTTCCTACCACAGATGTCACAGATTTTTTATGTCACTCCAATGATATATTGAATTTGACACCTATGTCACTATGTACACTTTTTTGACCATGAGAATGTTGTAGTATTGGTTGCATATACCATTACCTTTATGCTAGCTGCGTTTATACCTATTTAGGTGGTCACATTGCATTGTGAGACAGATCTTTATACCTTAGCGCTGCATGTTTTCTGTTTGTGACTTTCTTGTTATAATGTTCTTTTTCTCTCTCTGCAGCTTGGGTAGCTGTTTTTCAAGCAACTTTATAAGCTTTGGTCATTCTCTTTGCCTATGTGTTTACATATTCAGAGTGTGTTTTATATTTTTCATTGACTGGGGTCTCAAACATGCTGTCAATGGGTAGTCTTGGGGATCTTCCAAACAGTAAGAAAAAAGGAGAATATCCTGTAGCTTCACTCCGGGTACAATTATAGGCATCTACTACCTTTCAATGCGAACTTTTACAGTTTTTTTTTATTCTGGTGATAAAGTACGAAGCATGGATAATAGGGTGCAATTGAACCTTTCAACTTGTCCGTTGCCTTCTGGGTGGTATGGGGTTGTGTGGGAGTTTTGTATGTGGCAGTGCTTTCCCAGTGCCAAAAACAATTGATTTTCAAATTCTTTACCCATACAGTAACATGGTGAATTCTGGCAGGAAATCCAAATTGCAAGACAAAATGATTGAACAATTTATCTGCACCTGTTTTTGCTGACTTGGTCTTGGTTGCATATGCCTGAGCACATTTTGTAAAATGATCTATTAGCACTAAGATATACTCATATCCACCTTTACATGCTTCAAGGTGCATAAAGTCAATGGAAACCATCTAAAAAGGATAAGTTGTTACAATTCTATGCAATGGAGCTTGAACATGCTTGTTTGGGCATTTATCCTTCAAACAAGTACACTGTTGAGTGATGTAATTCTTAGGTTTGCTTTGCATACATGGCCAAAAGAATCTATCTCTGCTTAGATGTACAGTCCTTTCAACTCCCAAATGTTCCATCTCTTCGTGTAACCCTTTAAGTACTAGGTGATGGTGCATCTTGGGCAATACTAGCTGGCAGCTGGTTGATGTTTTTTGTCTCAAAATTCCATCATTGTCGAGGTAAAGTTTGGTCCACTGCCTCATGAGTATGGAGATATCAGAAGGTTCACCTTGACGTTCATGCTTTGATGGAAACCTTTTTTGACTTTTGTACTACCATACTTTTCCAATTTCTGAGTCTTCCTATTTGTGCTGTTCTTATTGACTCTTTGGGAATCTGAGCTATTTTTTTTAATGCACCATGATCTGTTTTTGATGTGCTGACAATTGTCATCGGGCACGACCAAGGCATTCTTTCCTCCTGGTGTACTTAAATGGCTAGGATTATGCTACTGATGGTCTTAAAGTCTACTTTTTGTGAACATTGTTGCATGTACTGTTCAGGGCTCCAGTGCAGACGAGAGAGTACATCTGCATCAACATTTATTTTCCCAGGACGGTACTTGATGGTAAAGTTAAAGTCGACCAATTCTACAACCCATCTATGCATTCAACTTGGCTGTTGTAAGGAAGTAAGTTAGAGGGTTATTGTCAGTGTATACCATGAATGACAGAATGTAATATAGGTAATCTCAAAATTTGTCACATATTGCCCATTTCATTGGTAGTGTCAGGAATGGACTCAGCACTGGTGGTGGGACTCACCTGCCGTGTGGGCTACAGTACCAGGGCTGACCAGCGGGTGCTCTCAGCAGCCAGAAGCTCACTCCTGCAGTCAGCCAACACCTGGGGCTGATTGCAGGAGGTGTATTTAAGGAATGACCAGGCCTGTGATCAGTGCCTTGGTGTATGTTTCCCATGAGCCCCTGTACCTTGTATCCTGTGTTCCTGTTCCTCTGCCTATCTGATTTGTTGTCGACTCTGCATTGTTTCCTGACCCTGCTGACTGTCTCCTGTTTAACCCCTGGTTTGCCTGACCATCCTTCTGCCTGATCCTCTGTACTGTGCTGCCCGTGAGTTACTGAACCCGGCTTGTGACCCTGACCATTCTCTGCCTGATCCTCTGTACCGCGCTGCTCGTGAGTTCCTGAACCCGGCTTGTGACCCTGACTATTCTCTGCCTGCTCCTTCGGTACCTTGCTGCCCGCACGTTGCTGACCTGGCCTGCCTGACTACGCCTTACGCTACCCAGACGATCCATCCATCCTGCACGGATCCAGCCATCCCTGCTCACACCTTCTGCCTCTTCACATCAGGCTTCCTACCTGCATATACCTCTGGCAGATCCCTCTACCACGAGCAGGTGTACTCAGGGGCTGCGACCTGGTTCCTGTCTGCTCCAAGTCCATCCCCACCATCAGGGGCCCTGGTGAATAAGCAGACTGGGACTTAGACTCTGCGCCCTGGGGAATCCTGTCCTGAGGACTGCTAGGGGTATCACCAGACGGTCGTTAACAGAACCATATGGCCGGCCTGACCCTTCCACCTCTCCAGCCCTGACTGCGCCTGTGTTCCTGCACATACTAAGATTAGTGGAAGGTTGGTTTATTTACTGAGCGTTGTTTATTTGGGTAGCTAATAATAAATGATATTATTATATCATTCCTGAAGCCTGTTACTTCCCTGTGTTAGTCCACACATTTCTGGTCATACCCGGATCCCTGACATTACACCAAGGCCATTCCTGACCAGAAGTGGCTGCACAGGGAAGCCATCTTGGCTTATTGTTGTGAAGGATGCATCCTGAGGAGGTTGTATATTTGTGTCTGCTAGTCTTTGATGACAGAGATTATGCCTATCAGACTCTGCAGGAGTATACCAGGGATCAACAGCTAGAATGCATACGGATCGCTCATTTTCCAGTGGATCAGGGCACAGAGTTCTCTGAGGTGCAACCATTGATTCAGGTTTGTGCAGAGTTGGCTTCGTCTGGTGCCCCTGAGGGCAGGGATGACTTTTTGCCGCCATTTAGTGCAGACCAGGTAGAGTCCCTGGTATGGTTATTAGAGGATGATGTGGATTGCTTCTTGGAGCATTATTCTGCATGTTCACAACATGTGCTTAAAGATTGTATAAACGCAGTGCAGTCTTTGACCAAACGGGCTTTGTGTAAGCTGAGCTTTGTTCAGCCAGTACTGCAGACATGGTCGGATTTGTTACATCCAGCCTCAGTCAGCTTGCAACAACCCAGTCCTGCTTCAAACCATTACTCTGCTCAAAGCTCTCTTCCTCCAGTTCCCATAGCACCCCCAGTGACAGCCCAGTATACCCTGTTAGCTACCACATGTCAGTCCCCTGCTCCCACTCGCTGCACCTATCCTGCCTTTTACCCTGTAAAGAAGCCTTCTGTAGCAACTGCTCCCTCCTTTGTTCCATCCTCCGGCTCTTCCCTGTCTTCAGCTGCTCCATCCGTTTACAGACCTGCATTCACTTACAGTGCTCCAGTAACTAAACCCAAGAAGAAAAGAAAATTCTTTCCAACCAGTACCATCCTACCAGTATCCAAACAGGTCAGCCTGCTGTCTGAGGACCCGCCTTCCGTTGTCCAGCCGGATGCCCCGAAGCCCAATGACCCGATCCGGCCTGATGACCCGATTTAGCCTGATGACCCGATCCGGCCTAATGACCCGATCCGGCCTGATGACCCGATACAGCCTGATGACTCGGTGCCCGCGGTCGTGCCAGATGACTCCGTGCCCGATGACTCGGTGCCCGCTGTCGTGCCAGATGACTCCGTGCCCGCTGTCGAGCTTGGTGACCCGGTGCCCGCGGTTCTGCTAGATGACTCAGTGCCTGCTGTCGTGCCAGATGACTCGGTGCCCGCTGTCGAGCTTGGTGACCCGGTGCCCGCGGTTCTGCTAGATGGCTCGGTTTCCCGCTGACGTGCTTGATGACTCGATGCCCGCTGACTTGCCCGGTGACTCGGTGCCCGCTGACTTGCCCGATGACTCGGTGCCCGCTGTCGAGCTTGGTGAATCGGTGCCCGCTGTCGTGCCAGATGACTTGGTGCCCGCTGTCGTGCCAGATGACTCGGTGCCCGCTGTCATGCCAGATGACTCTGTGCCCGCTGTCATGCCTCTGCCCGCTGCCCAGTCTGACGTGCCTCTGCCTGCTGCCCAGCCTGATGTGCCTCTGCCCGCTGCCCAGCCTGACGTACCTCTGCCCACTGCGCAGCCCAATGTGCCTCTGTCCGTTGCGCAGCCTGATGTGCCAGCCCCTGATGTCCAGCTAAAATGGCCAATAACTGATTCCCAGCCTGCTCCTGGAAATCCTGTGTCCAGGGACCTGCCTTCCTGGGTTCCCCTACATAAAGAGAAGTCTGCCAGCAGGAAACCCAGCCAGCCGGTTGACTCCGGCAGTAAGATATCCAGCCAGTTACCTGACCCGGGCGGTGGAACATTTTGCCCACTAAGGACTGTTTGGAGCGTCCTAAGGCCGCTCCTTGAGCGGGGGGTACTGTCAGGAATGGACTCAACACTGGTGGTGGGACTCACCTGCCGTGTGGGCTGCAGTACCAGGGCTGACCAGCGGGTGCTCTCAGCAGCCAGAAGCTCACTCCTGCAGTCAGCCAACACCTGGGGCTGATTGCAGGAGGTGTATTTAAGGAATGACCAGGCCTGTGATCAGTGCCTTGGTGTATGTTTCCCATGATCCCCTGTACCTTGTATCCTGTGTTCCTGTTCCTCTGCCTATCTGATTTGTTGTCGACTCTGCATTGTTCCTGACCCTGCTGACTGTCTCCTGTTTAACCCCTGGTTTGCCTGACCATCCTTCTGCCTGATCCTCTGTACTGTGCTGCCTGTGAGTTACTGAACCCGGCTTGTGACCCTGACCATGCTCTGCCTGATCCTCTGTACCGCGCTGCCCGTGAGTTCCTGAACCCGGTTTGTGACCCTGACTATTCTTTGCCTGCTCCTTCGGTACCTCGCTGCTGCCGCACGTTGCTGACCTGGCCTGCCTGACTACGCCTTATGCTACTTAGAGGATCCATCTATCCTGCACGGATCCAGCCATCCCTGCTCACACCTTCTGCCTCTTCACATCAGGCTTGCTACCTGCATATACCTCTGGCGGATCCCTCTACCACGAGCAGGTGTACTCAGGGGCTGCGACCTGGTTCCTGTCTGCTCCAAGTCCATCCCCACCATCAGGGGCCCTGGTGAATAAGCAGACTGGGACTTAGACTCCGCGCCCTGGGGAATCCTGTCCTGAGGACTGCTAGGGGTATCACCAGACAGTCGTTAACAGAACCATATGGCCGGCCTGACCCTTCCACCTCTCCAGCCCTGACTGCGCCTGTGTTTCTGCACATACTAAGATTAGTGGAAGGTTGGTTTATTTACTGAGCGTTGTTTATTTGGGTAGCTAATAATAAATTATATTATTATATCATTCCTGAAGCCTGTTACTTCCCTGTGTCAGTCCACACATTTCTGGTCATACCCGGATCCCTGACAGCTAGAAACTTTAGTTTATCTGAGTGCATGTGGTAATTCTTCTCAGCAGGTGCAAGAGTTCTAGATCCATAAGCAATTACCTTTAATCTTCCCTCCTGTTTTTGGTATAATACAGCACCTAGTCTTTCTTGTGAGGCATCACAGTGAAGTACAAATGACTTAGAATAGTCTGGATAATCCATGACTGAAGGATGAGTTAATACCTCAAAAGGCTGGCTCAATACTTCCTGATGGTGGTTAGTCCAATCTATGGGATGATGGGAGAAAAGTTGACCTATCAATTTTGGTCTGGGTTTCTTTGTCTTTCGGGTTTGGTTGGCAGGTGATAAAGTCAGTAGATTTTGAGTCTACTGACAGTAAGTTGTAGAGAGGCTTTGCAATTCTTGAGAAGTTTTGTATGTAGGGGCGGTAGTAGGATAGAAACCCCAATAATTTCCTGAGTTCCCCAACCATCCCTGGTCTTTTATCTCTCAATGCAAGTACAGGTGTTATCTCAGTTGGATCCATGGAATGACTGTCTATTGACACAATTTTGCCCAGAAATCTGACTTTGTCCTTAACATGCTCACATTTTCTGGCTGTTAGTTTGACTCTATTATTATTGATAGCATTGAAGTACTAACTGTACGTGTTCTACGTGGTCATGGAATGATTTACTGTGGACCAGATTGTCATCTAGGTAAGGCATCCCTCAAGCCAATTAAACATAATTTCATACTGTTTTGGAATTCTGCAGGTGCAGAGATAAAACCAATGGGTATTCAGATCCATTCATACAAACCCCAAGGTGTGATAAAGGCCGTTAATGGTTGACTGGCTCTTCCACAAATCCTTGATGATTGTCCATCCGGTTTTCTGAGCTTGTTGTAGAGGCATGCAGATCATGACTTACTAAGTGAGTACCTACATCCACTACTTGTTTCAGCTTCATTTGTGCTGGATATGCTGTCTTTATTGGCTCAAGGCATCCAAGCTTGGTTCAGCCTGGTAAAACAATGTCCTGTTTTGTTGTATTCCAAACTGGAATTGTCAGTTTGGAGAACTGTCCTCTCTGAATTGTTACAAAAGTTTCACTGATATACAGCCCATCAGGAAAATCATGAGCAAATCATGAATGCTACCCGGTGTAAACAGAATGTTCTGGGCTTGCAGGGAGGGTCCTGTGTGGGCACTACACCTGATGTGGGTTACGTTATTTGCAGGAATTCTTTGGCTCTTGGTACCAGTCTTGAGTAGGGCACCACAGTCTTCCCTACAATTGGCTTGTAATAAATTTACAAGGACCTCTGTTTTATTTGTTGACAGATCTAAAGCTGTTCTTAGTGAGTCCACAAACCCTGAAATGGATTTCTTTCCCTCAGCAGATGTTTCTTTGAATATTTCTTCAATGACGTTATAGGCAATGATGGGTTTCCCTGATACTTTATCGTCCTCTGATACTACAAGTGGCACTAATATCAGTTTGGTGTTATTATGACTTGATGTTAGCTGGAAAATGACTTCAACTCATCCAGAGAAGGGAATTTCAGTCTCATTGGCTGCTTTTCCATGTAAAACTCCTGGTCCGAGTAATTCTTCAAACGGTCTGAGCACTGTATGTTGAAAAAATCGCTGTCTCCAGCTCTCATTGATTATACTGACCTGAGAGCCTGTATCCCATAAAGCATGGACAGGAATGTTGTCTGACAGTTTACATAGCATCTTTTCCCAATTAGACTTAGCAACTTATTATGTTGTTTCGAGGTAATACAGTCCATCGTGGCCGACAAGCTATCAGCAGTCTGGGGTGGGTGCGATGTAATGCAGCGCAATGTGTTCTCTGCAACGGGTCTGAATTTAGACTTTTAGTGAGGGTACTCATTGCTGTGTGGGAATTTGCCTTAGTAGTTTCTTTGATACAGGGAAATATGGGACTTTGGGATGCAGAGGTGGCGTAGGTTACTGTCTGTCCCTCTACAGCAACCCTCTCCCATATAACTGGTTATGTTTTGTCACTCTGCATCCTTTTGCCAAATGTCCAGATTGACCACATTTGAAACAATGGTCACATGTGGTTCCCCGATCAGTCTTTTCACAATACTCACAACTCCTTTTCATATTCTCAGCATTGCTACTGGCTCTTTAAACCCACAATCATGTCTACCTCATGAACTTTGCAGAAGCTTTTTCATTTCTAACATTTCTTTTTGCATCTGCAGTATCATTCTTTCAAGATCGAGTTTAATATTGGCTGAATTATCTGGCTACTCACTTGTGGTTGGGGCAATGGTACCATGCAAGCTATGCTAGTAAAAGCAACTGGTTCTTGAGTACAACATAGAATAATGGACTGGCACTCACTGAGGTTCATCAGTTTGCTGGCCTGAGATTTCTTTTGCTTCTGTTCTCTTCCAATCTCCATGTTAGCTGCTTCTTTCATTTTTTTCTATGAGCAGCTCATCTGTACAGAAATGTCATATAGATATTGTTTTAGTTTGATATGGTAACTTCTCAGTCCAGTACCTACTGACCTTATGAATTTGTTTGTTTTTAGTTCAGTCCCAAAGTGTTCATCTGAACCTTCTCCTTGTGAAACAAATAAGAGGCGATCTTTCAATTCAATGGCTCTAAACAAAAAGTTCTGGGGAGGCTATTTTGTGAGATGCTAATCAGCTGTTGGTACAAATCTGATGCATTTTCTTCCTTGTAGTGACTTTTTAGAATTCTTTTAAATTGCACTAGGGTCAGCTCATTCTTCATTTCCCAGTAAATCAAAGACGAATTCTCCTGCGCTCTAGGGCTCAGACAGGTGGCGAACAGATGGAACCAGGCCTGGAGGGATCGTCCACCAATGCATAAAGGGCTGTGCGGCTCCAAAACAAGGCTGGGGAAGCCCAATCAACACTGCAGAATGAAATGAAAACGAGAAGCGCACCAACCTTGCGCATTACCTCAGTAACCAAAATGTATTAATTGTAAAAAATATACTCACAAACAGCGAATAAAATCAGGCATGTAAGTCCTCACAGGACTTGAAGATAACATGAGTCCCATCAGGGGAGTGGGTGTTCAGTACAGCTGACGCGTTTCGAAGGGGGTCCCTTCTTCCTCAGAGCTAACTGAACTGTGAGTGCTCTCTCCTATATATACTCCTGGACTGAACCTAGGCCCTCCCCACTGGGTTGGGCAGTCTCAGGTTAGTAGGAGGGGCCAAGATATCGTCAACAGACAATCACTATTTGTAATGCCATCAGAGAGAAATGATATAGACAAACGTAAAATATAAAATATATAAAAAACACATTTTGCATACACCACTTAGTATGCATGTAATATATCAACTTAGCGATGACACCAATGGAAATGATGATGATAGATAATACATGATGAAACATAATATATAGTAAATAATTAGTCTTATTCCATGATTCATTAGTGAGCGATGTATCAAATGGACAATTATCCAGAGGGCTTGTCATGATGCTGGATGAGTGTATAGCAAATAATGTAAAAATAGACAATTTTTACATTATTTTTACATTATTTGCTATACACTCATCCAGCATCATGACAAGCCCTCTGGATAATTGTCCATTTGATACATCGCTCACTAATGAATCATGGAATAAGACTAATTATTTACTATATATTATGTTTCATCATGTATTATCTATCATCATCATTTCCATTGGTGTCATCGCTAAGTTGATATATTACATGCATACTAAGTGGTGTATGCAAAATGTGGTTTTATATATTTTATATTTTACGTTTGTCTATATCATTTCTCTCTGATGGCATTACAAATAGTGATTGTCTGTTGACGATATCTTGGCCCCTCCTACTAACCTGAGACTGCCCAACCCAGTGGGGAGGGCCTAGGTTCAGTCCAGGAGTATATATAGGAGAGAGCACTCACAGTTCAGTTAGCTCTGAGGAAGAAGGGACCCCCTTCGAAACGCGTCAGTGTACTG